ATATTGGTAAATACTGAAAAAAAACCCACTATTTGGCGTACCTAAAAACATCCAGTTTTTTAATTGAAATAAAATAATATTTTCCCTATTTCAAAATTTTCCATTATTTAAAAATAAGGACTATTTTTTTCATTTTGTATTAAAACCCATCATTGGTTTATGTTTCGACCGGTTTCGGAATCTTATCAATGAATATTAATTATGTTATTCACCTTACAATCAACGTAATTAATATTCACATCTTGTCGAGCTACAATTTTAAAGCTGATAATTGTATGAGCAACGTTTGTGTAGTACAAATAGGTCTAGCAGAAGATCTTTTAATTTTTCAACGACTCCAAAAATAATAGGTTTCCAAACTAGTGGAATAAAACTTTTATAAGTCGCAGTCACATCTGCCTATTCACTCTCGCCTTTAAGAGTGTTCAGGAAAGACAGTAGCAGGCAGCGAGTTTCCTAGCTATTCGCATTATAAAAAAGTTAGAAAAACGCTTAGTGCGAGCTGGTGCATGGAATGTGGACAATGTAGGGATGGTGCGCTAACCTGCGTCTGGTTCCCTGGTGATGGAAAGTGTAGTAGGTATTTTAATTTCTACTCCAGCCGGGGTAGGATGCGCTAGGCGCGCCGTGATAAAATCTTATCGATGATTTTAAACGTCAAATATATCGGGTTATCTCGTAAAATCGATGAAATGCCTCTATAAACGTTTATCATGACGCGCATTCTAGGTCTACAGAAATACATACAGCTGAACATAGAACCTCCTTCTTTTTTGAAGTCGGTTAAAAAGATCTGTATTATCAATCTATAGGTACTATCTATACTTACTAATATTATAAATGCGAAAGTAACTCTGTCTGTCTCTCTTTCACGCCAAAACCACTGAACCGATTTTGCTGAAATTTGGCATAGAGATAGTTTGGGTCCCGGGGAAGGACATAGGATAGTTTTTATCCCGGTTTTTGAAACAGGAATGCGCGTGATAAAGTTTTTCTGTGAAACATAAAAGGTATAACAGGCCTTGTTTGGACTCAACCTACCGTATCCTAGCTATACTGTGTAGGGTCTACATAAGTTATTCCAAACAGAGCACTTACGGCACATCAGATTGAATCTCGCTAAGTTTTGTTTTAGTGTCTTTGCGTCATGGATACGAGCTCCATAGTGGGTATTCCCCCTTACGTGGGTAAGCCCCCCTAAAGCGGGTAGACCCTTTAATGGAAAGTGACTCAATAGATTAGTTTGGAGTAAGCACTGTGTATTCTGTGGTAGTACCACTAAGTGATAGTTTAAGTTGGTGAGAGTATGTTAAGTTGAAATTGTAGGACTGGGGATATCTTGGGGGTCGGAATATAATTTATTTGTATATTACCCAGTTTATCACTGGGTAATATAAAACCTGGAAAGTCAAATGGACCTGAGTGAAATGTCTCCAAGGTATGAAGGGTTATATTATGAAGAACCAAAAATTCAACATTCTTTACCCAGGTGAACATAGTGGAATAAATCATTAATTATGATTCGCCTAGCCCTAATAGGTGCTATATTTTTATCTTTGTTTTTTATCGAACTACTCTAAACTTAAGGGTAGACACTTGAATGAAATTAAGTCCGCCTTATGTACCTACAGTGTTTTGTGTGCCTATAAGTTTGAAATAAATAATTGAAGGTGGTGAGGGTTTTTCTTCGTACTTCGTACAGAAGGTTTTCGAGTCTTTCAGCACATTAGACTGTAAATTTTTGTTGCTGAATCGCTGCTTTATCTATTGCAACTGTAGAAAATGTTAAGCTTGATATGCAGTTGTTTTGTACATCTTGCATAAATAGTGCTGCAAAATGCGGGACGTCACCCACTTAAAGCAACATTGTTTTAACAGTCTAAAACAACAATTAACCCGACAGCGAACAAAGTCAATCTACAAGCTGTCTAACTAGCAAACTTGCTGGACATTGCAAATGTTTACAATTTGCCAGCGAAGCGAACTCGGCGCAAACAGGCCCTTCCGGCCCGGACGGTGTCCGGTCGCGCCGGACGGTTATCCGGATTAGGGTTCGATTAATAATGGTGAGGTTACCTGATAAGGGAAGGGATGCAAGAGAGCCGGTGAATGCAAACTGCTGGCCTTTTTCCCGTGATTTGGAGTTAGGCACGCGTGCGAATCTGGTTAGAATGTGTGTAAAATCACGCTGGCAGCCAATCCGCGTTCCGCGTGCGTGTAATTAGGAAAAATGTTTATTTATTTATTATTATTTAACATTTATGAAATAATGAAAAGCGGGTAGTCCGCATGCAGATTAAAGCTTAAATACTCGTAGCTGACTTATCAACTTGGAAAGGGATCAACATCGTATCGCCTTTTAGCGCGCTGTCAATTGTGAGGCGAGGCGTTTACGTTACGGTGCTGTGGATAAGTGTGCGTTGCAGTATGGAGTTTCATATAAAGAAAACTGACCACCTCGAGTTGATACGGTTACGATCCCTTTCCGGGTTGTTAAGTGTGCGACGTCCTTTAATCCGCACTCTGAGAGGTTTTCCCAGTGCTAACAATTGAAGCTCGCCGGCTGCCACAATGTGCTACCTATAAATAGAAGCTATTTGTGGAACATTGTAACGTTTTTCACGTTGTAACAATTAAACCCTACCTGGTAAACAGTACAGAGGAAAATCTGTTTGAACCATACTTCAACTTGATAAGGTTCTAATTAGAGTAGCAAAAGTTGGATCAACAGATGAACGATTAAGGCAAGGTTTTTATAGGAAAATCTTCTGAGTATCAAAAATCTATTAATAATGTTGTTAATGTACCTATTCCCTTAGTAAAAACATTCAAATTCAAAGGATACAATGCGATTTTTTCTATTTTTACCCGACTCCGCCAGAAGGAGGGTTATGTTTTTCTTAAAATACCGTTAACTTATCGAGTTATGCTGAATTTCAGCTTTACAACTACGAATAATAGTGAATTGAAATGTCTATCTAACCGGTAGTTAATCTTTTAACGTAACCACATCATCAGAATACGCTCATCCATTAAGTATGCTTCGGTAAATCAATGCTGATTCCACCCTCTTTCTATTTAAACCAGGGCGAGGGTCGCATGCGAGTAGAGAGTCGCTTGTCCAGGCCACCGGGCACCCCAGCCATGGAATTTAAAGTGTGTTAATACATAATAAGTAGGTGGGCTAAATGGACAACTTTGAATTTATGGATTTTTTCCAGTTGCCACGTATTATGGAGCTGTTGGAATCTAAGTACAGTATTCTTCTTCTTGAATAGCAAAGCTATCACTTATGACAGGCTTATGAGTTACCATAGGCGTCTAGGCTGGCCGTCTGACATCTTTTCTAAGGACAGAGTAGGTAATGTTTTTTTTTTTCAGAAAATCAGGTCAGGCAACGATCTTTCTAATGCTTAAACTACACCAACGCGTGCAAATCGCCATCGCCGCGATCATAGGCCAGTGACAGGTAGCGCGACCCATGACAGTCCGCGCGACCTGTCATTAGCCTATGATCGCGCCAGCGATGGCGATCTGCACGTGTTAGTGTGGTTGAAGCTTAAGAAACAATACTTAAAGGATTTTCGTTTTTGACTTGAGAGTCCCACTTAGGAATCAAACTCAGGAACTCAGGACTACAGAATCGAAAGAGTCGAACTCTATAACCACCAGATCACTGAAACCATAAAATTCAGAGATGGAACACATTTTTTTATTATTAAACAAGCAGTGCAGAACCGAGATTATGGCAAGATTGAGTACTTAACCGTGGCTTAAGTAAACAATGTCTGATTTTGTCTCTAGAAGAAAAAGTAGCGAGATTTGTGTGACCCCAAAAGAAAGTAAATTGCACGCAACCGATCCTCTTCACTTCCTGGAGGACAGTATAATGCTGACCGACTAGTTAGTTAAATGGGGCACGAGATTGGCCCGAATGAGGAAGAGGCCCTGCATTAACTATTGGAATAAACTGCTTACCATTAAGGTTGTAAGCGACACTGCCTCATGTCATGTGATTTTCTTCTTCTATGCATTCGGGATTTAAATGACATCATAATGTGTAGCGTTGTGTGTGGTGAACCCTAATCTTAAGTTCTTTAAATCCTATGCTTACCTTCTTTAGTCAAAATGAGTGGCTAACATTCCCAGCAGACTTCTACTATAGAATTTTAGTCGGTGGATAGTTAGGTGGGCTTCCAATTTGTATGAGGAATCGGCTGATACTATATCTGTGTAGTGTGCCCATTTTTTTTTTTAATCTTTATTTATTAACGAGGGTTTATTCACTTAGTGAATATGTCACCCTCATAGAGGCTTACAATAAACAGTGGTTAACCAATTATTAATTATCTACGACTTATACCTACCCGCCTGCACCAATCTATACAATAATCTGGCGGTCTTCTATACATGTTCACACTGATTAACAGCCCTACCCAACTATTGGCCGACTAAAAGCCTGTAGCTTTGGTCTTCATAAGAGTGACGTAGACTTAACAGAATATCATTATTATCACTATGGGCGTGCAATAAAGTGTTCTGAGAGATGATCAGTATTGTGTCTACTGATCATCTTGTCCTACGACCCTCAATTTTTTTTCCCTCAGAAATGAGGAGATCCGCAGGAGAACCAAAGTGACCGACATAGCTCGCAGAATTGCTAAAATCAAGTGGCAGTGGGCGGGGCACATAGCTCGTAGAGACGATGGCCGTTGGGGCAGAAAAGTTCTCGAGCGACCACGGGCTGGAAGACGTAGCGTGGGCAGGCCTCCTACTAGGTGGACCGACGATCTGGTAAAGGTCGCGGGAAGAGCCTGGATGCGGGCAGCGCAGGACCGTGCATTGCGGAAAACCTTGGAGAAGGCCTTTGTCCAGCAGTGGACGTCATTTGGCTGAAACGAGATCCCTTGGAGACCTCATTTGGAGAACATGCGAGTGAATTTTGGTTAGGTACCACTGTTTTAATGGTGGCTCCCTTGGTTGCAGATGACAACGCGCGCGGCGTGACCACGGACGGGCTGCTCAGCGCGCTGGCCCGCCTGCGCCGCCCCCCGCCCCTCCACACCAACTCGCACGCGCCCCGCTCTGTGAGTACCCGCTTCAGATTATAATGTGTCTAAAGCCCGGTCCGTGAGCACGTAGAATTTTGTCCAATGACCCCTAGCTACCCATCCTTATCGCTCGCGCGTAATTATATTCCTGTCGCGACTGTGCGACTGGCACCCGCAGTGAGTGTGCGAGCGCGATAGCAACATAGTCACGCGCGAGCGATAAGGATGGGTAGCTAGGGGTCATTGGACAAAATTCTACGTGCTTACGGACCCGACTATACCCTCTCTTTTTTTGCTTTTTTTTTGACGCGGTGGAAATGCTTTGCGCACCGTCACCACTGCCCGGGGACAGGGTGGTGTGTGGGCCTCCCAGTGCCCTGAAAAGAGCGCTGCTCCGTCCTGAAAAGGACGAGGTATACCCACTAAAACCTCTGCGGCGTTCTGTCATCGCCAGTGGCCCGCCAGTGGAGGTATCGCGAGTATCCGGCCGTAGCCTTATGCTTATTTTCACCACCAATCTATAATTTTTAAGTGACCCCTATGAAAACAAAATTCCTGTCATGTGTTACCATGGAGGTCACTTAAAAATTAGGAATTGATGGTGAAAACGGGTATTAGACTTCCGCGACAGTACGTAGTCCCTGCTAGATTATAGGTAGTGATGATGCCACGCTAGACGACATGGCAGCGATAGGGGCAGATTTCATGGCTAGTCTAGAAAGTTGGACTATTAACCTAAAGGCTAGAATCATAACATAATTGTTTATTATAGTGATTATAGTGTAGACCGTAATCATACGCAGGGCGTAAAGGACACTGTTGGCATAAAATTTAAGGTTGATTTCAAACTGCTTCCAAGATAAAAACTGTAAATTTTTGGCTACATTTTAGTACCTAAGTAAAATCTGAAATGCTGTGTCGTGTATCCACGGCCTCTCCCGTAGCATGAACAAATGTTTGTCTCCAATTCAAATGTTATATGATTTGTTTGCAAATTCGAAAGGGTCGGCTGGATGCTCAATGGACGTGTACAATTAAATCCAATTGGTTTACGTAGACAATTAATTTGTAGAGGTTATTGGGTACGTCAGGGCTTGACCCTAGGCCCGATAAAGATGGAGGCTTTGACGGCCTGAATGGGTTCTAGAGTAATATTCTAGATTGTTCAGTGGCTTGATTTTATCGATACTTACAGTTAATTACTTCATAAACAAATACAAATAAAAACCGAAATGCCGTCTCTTGAGTGTTGAATTTTATAACAGTGGATAAACCAAATAGTATTTTTTATTAAAAATGTTTTACTTCGAGTCCTCACGAGATAGCACCTGTCATCATCAAATGGCATTATTATAATACATTTTTTAAACTTAAACTAAAGACCTATTATCCCAAAATAAACGCAAGTTTAATTGGCCGCCATTTTGTAAAAACTCCATCCCTGAAAAAATGAACAATTTGTCAGCTGAGAGTCTAAAGTTTAACACTGGCTGTCCCGCACGAAGTCAAGAAGAAAAAAAATGTTCTCTTCATAAAAATATGCTGACGTCGTCAAAGTAGGCATCAAAGAGATTCAGTAAGCAAGTGTTGACATCCACAGCTCTAGTCGGTTAATTAAGGACTGTTTAGCAACTAATTAGTGCAAAAAAGGCTTTGATCTTTGACCAACTTGTAGACTTTGTGGCCATCACTTTGAATGAAGCTCGTCTGTTTCTCTCTGACTATCTTATTATGTAGGTAACATAATATTCGTGAATTACGAGTATTCTGTTGTATGATAATTATGTAGGAAGCTACCTTGCTTAATATACTCCTACTCACTTATATTAATTTAGGTTGTTTTGAAGATGTAATATGTAGAAATTAGTTTCATGTTGGCCACGAGCTTTTCAGAGTAATTCAAAAACGTTATTAGTCTTAGCTCTAACTGCAATTTTATTAAGTACCTACCTTTTGAGGTATTCAAAATTAATGTCATCTATGATTTTCAGCGACAATAATCATAAAGGAGGAGGCCTTTGTCTAGCAGTGGACGTCATTTGGCTGAAACTAACGATATCTTTTCATGTTTTCATCCAGTCAGTCGTAAAAACCAAAATACATTTATTACAGACACTAAAAAGCATTACCTACCCATATTATTATCTCATATTCGAAGGTATAAATCTATCAAGGGTTGAGCAAAGCTATTCATTCATAAAGATCTTTTCAAACTATTATGTTCTTAATTTTACCTTTCATCGTGGCCGCCAGCCGGATTCGAACCCGGGGCCGCTCGGCCGTGAGACGCGATTACTGCCGCGCCATTGGGCAGGCATCATTCACACAGAAAAGCTTATAAAATGGCGGATTTATACAAAATGATATGGAGAAGTGAACTGAACCTTTAAACATTGCTTCATCAGTCTCTACGTAAATATAGATAGATAGAACACACTTTATTGTACAGTACAGACTTGGAAAAGAAAGAGATAGAATAGAATAGAATACAATTTGTCTGTGACAGAAAAACTAAATCGCGCGCGTCCCTGTTTCGAAAACCGGGATAAAAACTATCCTATGTCTTTTCCCGGGACTCAAACTATCTTTGTACCAAATTTAATTAAAATCGATTCAGACAGACAGGAAACGTGGCCCCTCACTATGGGCCTTATACAGAAGCTCAAAGTTGCACAGCGTGCTATGGAGAGGGCTATGCTCGGTGTTTCTTTACGAGATCGAATCAGAAATGAGGAGATCCGTAAACGAACTAAAGTCGCTGACATAGCCCGACGGATCAGCAAGCTGAAGTGGCAGTGGGCAGGGCACATAGTACGCAGAACTGACGGCCGATGGGGCAGCAAGGTTCTGGAATGGAGGCCACGTACCGGAAAACGCAGCGTGGGACGTCCACCCACAAGGTGGACCGACGACCTGATAAAGGTAGCGGGAAGGCGCTGGATGCAGGCCGCTACCAACCGTGCGATGTGGAAGTCATTGGGGGAGGCCTATGTTCAGCAGTGGACGTCCTGTGGCTGAAATGATGATGATGATGATGAGATAGACAGAGTTACTTTCGCATTTATAGTATTCGTAGGGATTGGAGGAGTATTTTGCAATACTGTTTTGTTTGGATTCGTGGATTTCAGTCTGACATAGAAATACTTTATTGCGTACGTGTCTCCATTTCAAATACTGGGATAAAAACTGTGCTATGTTTTTCTCCGCTTATAATATTTTTTCAAATCGTTACTACGCTACGGTACTGTTGTAGACAAACAGATTCACTACGAGTAGGTACTTTCGCATTTATAATATTGGTAAATATGATAGTGGAGCCGGAAGACATAGTGTAACTAGTGTGGGCAGGCCTCCCACTAGGTGAACTGATGATCTGGTTAAGGTCGCGGGAGTGCCTGGATGCGAGTGGCGCAAGGACCGGTCTTTGTGAAAATCCTTGGGTGAGGCCTTTGTCCAGCAGTGGACGTCTATCGGCTGAAACGACGACGATGATAGTGGAAGTATGGATAAATAAAACCGTCAATGAGTAAAAAGTCGCACACTTTGTTAAAAACCTTAAAAAAAATTGCGTAAACCTTCGTCTTTCTTTTATGAAAAATGATAAAAAAGAGAGAAACAATAACCACTTGTATCTTTTATTATCGTCTCTATCAGAACATGCTTTCCGAATAAATTCCGGCCGCGAGCTAACAGATATAACACATAAGTTGAGTGGAGGGTAGACGTAATCATTACACGTGGTAACGGTTGTGTTACCGCAGGGCCGGACTCAGGGGAAATAGCAATTAAAACATCTATTATATTGTCTAAGTTTCTAGTATAATATTCATTCAATTGCATTATTTTATATTGTGTTGAACTAATAATGTCTCAGTCTACAAGATCGGCTTGATAAAAACCGAAATCTCCGTTGAGTTAAAAACAAATCAGTTTGGCTTTACCATTGTTTTTCTATAGGCTGGCGCCTAAAGAGACATGTGAACAAGTCTTACATTCTTAGTATCCATTAACTCAAAGTTTCACAAATTACTACACGAAGCTTGAAATTGAACAGAAAACGTCTATTTCAGTAGATTTAAATTATTCTAAAACATAAAGGCCACGCAAACCTTGCATATATCTGGGGGCACGGCAGTGCCCTCACCAAGTCGAGCAAAAAAGCGGCACGGCCGTACCATCCTTTTCTCGAAGCAATTCAGGCCATTTTCGACCGCCTGTAACTTCGTTGTGGATAAAACTAGAAGGCTGAATTTTCATTAGCTATGCAGGCATTGTAAAGACACGGTATATTTAAAATTTCATTCAATTTGAACCAGTAGTTTAAGAATTATAACGGGTCAAAGTTACTTAATTTTGTCACTCACTGACTNGAGGCTCAACAGGGACTCGGCGTAGTCACTGACTGGCTACGGAATAACATCCTGACTTTGAACACCTCCAAAACCAAGTACATCACCTTCGCACACAAGACTCACTTGCTTCCCCCCGCCGCTCTATCTATTACTGCCCACACTTGTCCACCTGGAAACACTTTTTGTTCGTGTCCTACCCTAGAAAGAGTCGAGACATTGAAGTATCTTGGGATTACCCTGGATCAAACCCTTTCCTTCAAACCGCATGTACAGATTCTCACGTCTCGACTCCGTAAACTCATATATGTTTTCAAGACCCTTAGACACGCAGCTAATCGGGGAACTATCGGGATGGTCTACCGAGCTCTCTGCCAATCAATCTTGGATTATTGTATCACCTCCTGGGGTGGCTCAAACAAAACTATCATGATCCACTTGGAGAGAGCTCAAAGGGCTGTTCTGAAAGTCGGTGCAGGCCTTCCTTTGCGCTTTCCTACAGTGACTCTTTATCAGAAATGGGACGTCCTCACAGTCAGACAGTCCTTCATACTACAAACAGTATTAAAACAACATTCCGAAGTGGTATATAGCCCGAGCCTACACGAGGGTAAGCGCAGGAAAGGCAAAGTGTGTAAAGCAGTACCACTAAATTCCCAACATGCTCACCAATACTTCTGTTTCCTT